CAGGACACAAATTTGCTTCTTTCCTTTTCCTTTGGTCTTCTCCTTTTCATTCACTTTTTTAAACTTCTTTTATTTGCCTCTTTATTTTCTTCAGTCCAGCTAAAAGCTTGTCATTGTAATGATGGGTGTTCAGGTCAGATTGTTCACCGATTTTGTAACGTCATGAGTTCGATTCACGGCTGAATTGTCCTCCATAACATTTTTAACGGTTTCGCATGTACACATAAATTGCTTCTTTTAAAAGTTACCTTAAAGCTTATGAAGCAATAATTGACGCGTATCCATAAAATGACCTTGAGGTCTATCAACTTTGTTATCACAACAGCTTATACCACGGGATAAATAAAACTTGCTTCAACCTGCACATTATATACTTGAGAGGGCAAATTATGTTACTTAAGAATAACGCAGTTTCATATTAGTTTTTTTTTTGGCAGTAAAAAGACCTGAACCTTGCACTCTTTGTGGAAATCTGATATTTTAGACCTTTCAGAGCTTCATTGCTGTTGTCATTTTCAAGTGGTCTTGTCATCATTCCTTAAACGTTGATATGCTCTGTGCCCCAAGTTGTCTTAGCTGATAAATACTTACGATGAGTAACATTTTAAGGAAAAGCTTAAAGAATACTAAAATAGTGTTTATCGTGTCATCGGTAACTGTCTTTGTAAGCGAAGTCAGGAAAAAACACCCGTCCTCCTCCCCCCTCCGCCCAGTTCGCACACGTTTTAAAATATATTCTTATCCACAGGTCACTGGAATCGTAAANTACTTCAGCGAGTTTTAATTACTCTCGAGCTCTATCGCTCTAGAGTACAGTAAAGATGTATAATTATTGTCGAGTGAAAGCTTTTACTTGCACATGATCAGTTATCGATTTCTTTCACTTTTATTCTCTTTCCATTCTGTACAGGAGTGTTTATTCAGCAAGAACTTCTCTGACACTTCCCTCCATGTTTACTGGACTGGCGTTCTAAGAATCTACAACTGTGACAGTTGCTGCAAACGCTGGTATTTCACTTTCAACGGTGCTGAATGTTCAGGCCCCCTTCCAATTGATGGCATTGTGTACATGTATAAAGGAAGTGGTAAAAGTCTCCATCGCGTCCGCCATATTGAGGGGCACTGTAATAACATCCACAAAGGCAATGTGCGCGTGGGATTCTGGGTTGGTGATTGTGCTAGTCATGGAAACGGTGACGCCTACACAGGCTGGAATTCAGTGTCCCGGATCTTTGTTGAAGAAGTTCCTAAACCTCAGGCTTAGATCTCGATCGAGGCAAAACATCCATTCCTGTATAAGCACTT